CAACCTTATTGTCAGCGTTCACCCAGGCGTCTCAAATCTTGCCTCTTAATATGAATGCTCAAATCCTTATAGTTTCCGAGATAAGACGTTTTTTTTTTCCCGGGAAACTTAGGTTTAAAAAAGGTCACAAAATTTTGGATTCCTTACCCTATAGTAGGGTGCTCTCAGGGACTCTCAGTGGTTGCAAATCTGGCCTCCAAATTTCTCCAGAGGCCCATTAAGTTTTTGAGATGACGCTTTTAAAATGGGAATTGAAAAAAATTTGAAGTTTGTAATTGGGTGCAGTCAGAGTACACTAAAAGTTGCAGATGTTGTTTCCAATATATGTGGTTTTTACTGAGTTGTCGAAAAATTTCGAAGCACCGAAGGTGCGTTAAACGCTAGTTGTTTTTAATTCTTACAAGTTTTGGCAGATTTCTGAAACAGTATCCCAATATTCGTCGATATGAAGCGATTGGGCTTTCTATATTTGAAGCCTGGAGCCGCATTCTGTTTCAGTACAAAGACAAATATAAGTTTTTGGTAGTAGCTTCGATTTTTTTAATGAAAGTATCCGTCATAATACAAATTATAACACCGTCCCCTTGTAAAAGTTTCAATTTGAATAATTTACAGAATTTGATAGTTCTACTTGAATTAAATATTGATGAGTGATTAGTAATTTGTTTACAAGTGAACAAAATAAGGCGTGAAAACTAACTGGATAGATCTAACTTTTTCACGCCTCAAAGTTTTCTGATATTTTTTGAAATTGTTAATGCCATTTGGTAAAAAATTTGTTTTCTGCCATTTGGGAATTATGCCATTTGGGAAGTTACCCTAAAGTTTGTTCAAACTAAATTTTGACTTTTTCGCGGTTAGACTTATGATTTCTTTTCAAGTTCCTAAACTAGATTTCTAGAGTTCAAAAAAACTTTCTTTTCAAGTTAAAAAAACTAGATTTGAGTTCAAAAACATTTCGCTGATTAAAAGGAAGGTAAACATCATTATCGAACAACAGAAGTACAAAAAATGTGATCGACTTCTAGTTTTTGAATCTATTCCTTAAACTCAACGCCAAAATTTCTGTGGACGCAATGTTTAAGTGGTTTATATAGGGGACAAAAGTTATCAAAAGGCGTTAGGGACAATGTTCAAACAAAAGGCATAGATGTCATGGATTTTTTTTTTCAATCCGAAGTTTGGATAACTTCAAGTCATTGTTTAGATCAAGATCAAATGTCCAGACAGATTAGATTGTCTTTGAGCGCATGGCACTGCAAGGCAAGGAGATGCAGGGAAGCGCATGGCTAGGCAAGGCAAGACAGGACACACAGGACAAGGATGACAGGGTAGCGTACGGCAAGGTAGAGCTATGCAAGGCAAGGCAAGGCATGGTAGCGCAAGACAAGGAGGAGCAGTGCAGCTTAAGGCAAGGTAGATCAGCGCAAGCCAAGGCAAGGCAATGAGGGGAAGCGCATGACACGGAGGGACAGGGCAGCGCAAGGCAAGGAAGGGCAGGGCAGCGCAAGGCAAGGTAGATCAGCGCAAGCCAAGGCAAGGCAACGAGGGGAAGCGCATGGCACGGAGGGACAGGGCAGCGCAAGGCAAGGAAGGGCAGGGCAGCGCAAGGCAAAAAAATGAAGGGTAGCACAAAGCAGGGCAGCGCAGTGCAAGGAGGGGCTGCGTAAGGCAAGGCGAATAAGCGCAGGGCAAAAAGGGGAACGGCAGCGTAAAGCAAGGCAGATCAACGAAAGGCAAAAAGCAAAACAGGGCAGTGCAGAGCAAGAAGGTTCAATGGTCTAATGTCTAGACAGATTAAAGAATCATTTCATCGGTTATAATTTTGGTTCGAAAATTGATCCGGCGGCTGCCTGCTATCATGTTATTTTTTAGAGTTTCGGTTCTGAGGTTGAAAATTCATTTTCCAGAAAATCGCAGCTCAGAAAATGTGGATGATTTTACGAATTTTTCAAAAATTATTAAAACAATTAAAAAACATTAAAATATATTTTAAATTTAAAATTTTTTTTTCCTATTTTTGGGCTAACTGGGGTGTATTGTAGAGTTGCGAATCGAATGTCAAAAACTAATCTTCTAGAAGCTCGTAGGTTAGGAGATTTGGACGATTTTAAGAGTTTTTCAAATTTCATAAAACTTTTTCGCTTTTCGTCTGTTTCTTTGCGTTCATTCACTCGTTTCCAAATGTCAAATGGCTATCTTTTTAAAATTAATAGGTAGGGGCAAGCAAGGCAAGGTAGGACAGCACAAGACAAGGATGGCAGGGCAGCGCAAGGCAGGGTAGCTTAAGGCAACGAGCTGTGCAAGGCAAGACAAGGAGTTGAAGCGCAAAGCAAAGAGGGTAGGGCAGCGTAAGGCAAGGCCGGACAGCGCAAGGCAAGGCATAGTAGCGCAAGAAATTTAGGTTTTTTTTCCACTTCTGAAAAATATCTGAAACGCTACACCAATTTTTAAGGAAAGGAGTATCAATGGAAACAACGTTTATTCCCTTGTCTGTTTGCATAATCCTCTAGTCTTTTTTTTTACTTTACTTCGCTGTCTACAGCCTTCGAAAAAGTCTGCAGGGAGAATATTTGACCTATTTTTTAAGGTTTTTTTTTTAAACTACTGCCAAATGTTGAATTTCAGATTCAAAAGAGAATGGGTTGTACGAAGCTCCTCTATGAAAGCGGCTACGCTCAAATTATTTTACACGAAAAGTTAAGGCACTTGGAATAGTCAAATATTTGATTTTTGACCGTTGTTTTTTGAATTTTTGAATTTTATCAAAAACTACCCACTGATTTTAGAATTTAGGTTCGGACGAGAGAACAGGTTTTGGGTAGCTTTCCTGAACTAGAGGAAAATATCAAATTTTTGCCTTGAAATTTATCTCCCTCCGTAAAGTGAAATATTTCTGATTTTCTGATCGCTTTTTGAAATCTATTCCCCCAAATGTGAGATTTTGGGTTCAATCCAAAGAACGGGCTGTGGAAAGTTCCCCTGCATCAGCGACTGCGCCCAAAGTTTTTAAAAACAACGTTATAGCCCTCGAAAAAGACATTTTTTTTATTGTTCTACCGTTTTTGCATTTTTCGGTTTGCCTCGAAAATTACTCTCCCAAATCTGAATTTCTGATTTCAATCGAAATGAGACGTTTTGTGACTTTCTTCTGCTTGAGGGGCTGCGCCCATATTTTACACAATCTAATTCGACTTGTTGACTGTTCGTTGGAAACTTTTTGACTTTTCCAAGAACTGTTTCTCCATTTCTGATAAAAGGTTCTGAATCTAAACAAGAGGTTTTTGAAGGCCTCATTGCATAAAAGGCTACGTTCAATTTTTTTAAGATAAAAATTGTGGCCTTCAAAAAAGTCAAAGATTTGAAACTTTTGGAAACTTTTTGACTATTGAAAACTACCCTGCCAATTCTAAGGTTAAGTGCCCCATCATTTTATCAATTCAAAAAAGATCAAAAAGATACTTCCAGCTTTAGCTAGGTTTCTAGTTTTCTTTTATCGAGACAAGAGAATTTGGGCTAACCTAGAAATTGTTCATTTTTTTTTCATTTTTTCAACTTATAATTTTTTGTATAGCAAGTGATGAAGCTCCGCTTCGCCGCTGTGTAACATTTTCTTTTAGGTTATGCCTTCCGGTATTTATTTAAGTATTATGTCATTTGCGACTCCTGCTTAAGAGACGCTATCTTTCCTAGGTGTAATTTTTTCTCGTGACATTTCAACTCTCACCAATGACGAATGTTTAAGCTCCTTTAAACAAAGTAATCTTAATCAATTTTGTTCGTTGTTGTATTTTCAGTGGTTCGAACAACATCTCAAATTTTTGCCAAAGGAAAATTTGTCAGTGAAAATTCATGAAGCCTTTCCGTGGCTGTTATGAATTGGAAAATTCAAAAGAATTAATGCCGGGATTTTTTTTACGCAAGCAAAGCTCTTTTTTTCCAGCCTAAGTCGAAAATATTGCTGCGACGCAAATATTATTGCGGCAAAATGTGTTCATTTTGAAAGTTCATTTTGACCAAGAACCAGCTATTAAGTACAGCCAATGCTAAGGATATTAACACAGACTATTATATTATAAATAGAACTTAAGCTTCAAATATCATGGATCTGTAGCGTAGAGGCAGGGAAGTAGACCCCGCAACCAAATAAAAGGGTTCGAACCTGGGCAGGGTTGGATGTTTTTAATGAATTTTTCGTATACTAGTTGAAATGTGTCCGCTCTATAAATTGAAGCATGTTAATTGGCAAACTTCTTTTTTTTTCAAATTGACTGGTACTGCTAATGCCTCATAATTGGCTTGCGTCACTTAGCAATTATGAAGACTCATAGTTGGCGTGCGTCTACAGAATTTTTGTTGACTCAAAGTTTTACTCATTCATTTTTTCCCTGTAGCGCTTTATGCCCGTTCTTTTCGGTTTTTTTCATGTTGGTTGTAAATTTACTAACTCCGATTTCAGCCTATCAGTTTTTTTTCGTTTTTAATATCTTTTTCTCTTTATTCGGCTAAAATTGGTTCAACTGGTAATATATTAGCTTAGAGGCATCTTTTTGAGTCGTTTGAGGAGCAAAAAAAATCTTAACCAAGTGTTTTGAGGGGGGCTTAAAAACTTGCTTTTTTTCTTGTTTTTTTTTATTCAGTATTGAATCAATGTTGTGAAATGTTAATATTTTTGCGAGTCATAATTAATCGAGATTTTATTGCGTACAGTGTCACTAAGGCATGGATCGACGCGCAAAATAAATGTTCGAGTAACTTCATAAATGTTCGAGTGATGCCTTTAAACTGATCTTAGTGGAAGAGCGTAATCATAATAGAAATATCATAATTTCAAAATCGTATATTTTCCAATATCGTAATAGGCTCTTTGACCATCAAAAACACCACACTCGGGAGATCTTGAGGCATTGCTTCAAATTTATTAAGTCTTGATGAAACTTTCTTTTTTTGCCTGCAGTGGACATTGAATAATTAAGGTTGAATGTTAGTAACGTTTTTAGGCCGTGTTGAATCGAGTAAACCTCTGTCTTCTCCCAAAGCACCAGTCTTGAAACCAGTTGAACCACCAATTTCTGTGACCCCCGTAGCGGCAATTTCGGCAGCCAGTTCTGAGAAAACAGCCGAAGCAATAGTGAGGGAGGAAACTGCGGATGTTAATCAGCAGCAGTCGCTTAAGCGACCCCCATTCAAGCCCGTGGTATGTGTTTTATGCAGTAAAGATATAGTTTAAATTTTTTTCATATATAAAAAAGCCCAGCGATTAAACAAATTTTTTAAAAAGTAATCGAAGAATTGGATAAATTATGTCAAAAATTTGAAACCTAGTCAAAAGAAAGAACGACAAGAAATTCAAACCTAATTAAAGCAGAAGAATAAAAGGTGAAACATCTTCAAAGGAAAATCGGGAATCTGCTCTAAATAAAAATCTGTCAAAAAATCTAGAGAAATGTCTAGTAAAAATCTGTCAAAATTGAAACCTGGACAAAATATCAACCAGAAAGATAAATGGCAGTTTATTTTCAGGCAGCTGTTGACAGTGGTCCTGCGAAGCACCCAGCAAGATGCAAGCAGTGTGACATGAACTTCCAAACTCTGACGGAAGCGCAGAACCACTGGAGATCTCAGAAGCACATCGAGAAGGCAAAGCAGGCAGCAGCTTCTGCTAAAATATCAGGTGAAAAATCAGACGAGAATCGCGCGAAAGTTTAAAGACGTTTCAATGCCATTGCGAACGGGGAAATTGCACTTCTGGACATTTATTTTAGCTCACTTGTTGAGGAACGGAGAAAACGTCGTTATTTCGAGCGGAAGTTTTCTCAAATTTCGCAGATGTTATTTTTGGTTGACCAATTTGAGTTCTTTTTGCGAGCAGCTAAAAACGCCTATTTCTGAGACTTTTAATGAAACTTTTAGACCATTTTTTTTTGACGCCTGTTAAGAAAATTGCTGCTGTTGATTGCTTATGAAATAGTACCAAAGTGTAGCGAAGGTGTGTTGATGGAAAGTGCAGGGCGCCTTGTATATGGAAATCTTATTTAGTAAATGAATGACACGTTTTCATAATTTTCTTCTGCTTCAGCCAGAGGAGCTGAGACGAAGACCATAAGTGCACCTCAATTCCCACCTGGCATCAGACCTCTGAGTACTGCCGCCAAACCCCCGCCGACTAATGCTTCTCACATTCAGATCCCCACCAGAACCTTGGGGGGATCGTTTTCTTCGGGACTTAAACGAGCTACAGCTTCAACCACCGAATCTACGGAGACGACCAAAGAAGAACCCCTTGATAAGAAACCTGGTAAATATTTCATATTGTAAATTTGTTAAGTTTGACTCAGATAGGGTCTATATTTAGTTCTATGTCTTCGAATTGACGGACAGTAATGAAGAAAAGGAAGGATTGACACCTAATTAATTTTTTGATAGACGAATGGGTCTCCAAGTTTTAAGAGGGAGCTTCAAATTGAATTTACCTATATATTTTGAAATGAATTAATGGGAGGCTGGACAAACAAAATTTTCTTTCGAATATGCAAAGAAAGAGTCGATAGTCTATCGTCTTCTTATCAAGTAATGGCTGTTAATGTATGTATGATTCAGCTTTTACTTCATTCGATGAACCAAAGCCAGCAGAAGAGGTACCAAAATTGCCAGAAACTGCGACGAAGCCTGTAAGTGCTCCACCGGTTTCAAGCTCTGCTAAGCAGGGTCCACTGACACCACCGTCAGCCATCCGTAATGTACCGATAACACTGCGACGAGTGGTGAGTCAGAGTCCCTCACAGAAATCAGAACAAGGAGCAGGATTCAAAATCCAAATCTCACAAGCAGTACTGCCTTCCACCTCTGGTACGTCTGTTTTTGAGTTTAAAATTTAAATGATTTTCGGCCATGGTTTCAAGACTTGCTGCTGCTGTTGTTGCACTTTTAAATGTTTGATTTAATTTCAGAGCCGGAGAAGAAGCCGAACCTAGAAGCAAACTTCCTAAAACCAAAACCTCCGTTCGCCATTTTGAAAACCGAGAGCAAAAACACGATTGTTGCACCAAAGTTGGAACCCAAAAAACAGATTGAGCCCATCAGTATTCCTGAGACTGAAAAGAAAGTAGAGATTGATCTGAAATCCCGCAAACTAGAAGTGATTCAATCTGAAATCAAAACTGAACAACATTTAGAAGAAATTGAAAAAACCGAGGATGTAAAACAACCATCTGCTCAGTATGAGAGCAAAGATGGCCACGATTCTGCTCATGAGTCTAATGCTGGTTCCAGTTCAGTCGAGGAGCTGCAGGTGTCGGAGGCATCGTCGGACTCTTCCACCGTCTGGGCGAAGTTGCCGCCCATTGATGTGAGCATGTTGAAAGTGAGAGTGAATAATGACACGGACGCTGTGAAAAAAGCCTCGGCTAAAGCGAAGTTCAAGTGCAACGACTGTGCTTTGGCACAGGCAGACAAGGAAGCGTTTTTGGCTCATCTTGCAGGTAACTATTTGTCGAATAGTTGCTACATATCACGTGGAACAAATGCTCATGATAAAACATTGCTTGTGTCAAACGTTGCTTGAGTCAGCTCTTTAGCTACTACTAGATAGTACGGTCTCACTTTTCAATGTTTTCTCTCAATGCTTCTTTCAATGTTTTCAAATGCATATTTTGTTTTCTGATCAGTTAAATGAATAAAAACCTGCAGTGAAAAACACAGATATTAGGTTTTTAAAATATTTTAAATGTATTAAGTTACTACTATACGGTTTTTGACCACACGTGTTTCAGGTGAGAGCCACTTCAACAGATTGAAGGCGCGATTGCAACTGTCGGCTTGCTTCGCCGAGTCAAAGTGCAAGCTGTGTGAGGCAGACATAACCTCTCTTCAGGAAAAACTAGATGTAAGAAATGACGTCATCACATCAATCATATTTGCTAAGAAATAAACCGAACTGTCTTGATAAAGACTCAAAAAATGATCAATATCTAATTCGATGGCTTTTGAAGATTCTTTGGAAGCATAATTGTGCGGTGTGAGGTTGAAACCCTTCAAATTGGGAATTTCTGCCCATCCTGTCAGAGTCTCATGAAAATAGTTGAATCCAGAATTGAGTTACAGCCACTTTAAGAATCAACTGCTTTACCCGGCTTTTCCTCGAAAAGGGAATTTTTTATTTCAAAAATAAATGCGTTTCAGCATGTTATGGTGCATGCAGACTAGCTTGCTGTGGAAGGAAAACACGAATTAGAAGCCACATGTGGAAGATCTACTGACAGTGCGATACTTGATGATCGTACAACCCAATATTAGCATGCCTCAACTCACTTTCTCCAAGCTTATAACCACTAGCAGTTTACATCAGTACAAATTTAATGTGATTGTTTTGAAGTTGCAGAATCGAAACTCTCGGATTATAAGTTAAATTTGAGATTTGATAATTGCATTTACTTAAATTATTTCATTTTCGAGTTCAGGGTTTCGATTCTAGATATACGATTTTATGTTCATTGTTAAATGAGAATTTAAAATGTCTTGCTTGTTCTCGATTTTGAAAAAAAGAGTGTCATTCTAAAGTTTTTTTAATAGCTGAGTTGTGTGACGAGTTTAAGTCATCAAGAAATTTAGCAATGATTTAGAAATGAATGCAAAAGAATTCAAACTATCAAAGTCTGTATAATAAGAGTCGATGAAAGTTCAGACAGACTCTTATATCGCGATGTTTTTTTATTCGTTTCTTTTCCAGAAATTTTTTAAAAAGTTTAATAACGCTTAATTTTGGCTCTTTGCGGTTCGATTTTTTTTTTCATTTTAAAACCAATTCAAATCCATTTTCTGAAAGAAAGGCAAGGCGCAAAAAAGGTGAATAATTTCTAGTTTCTAAAGTGGGTGTGAATTGTAAGATTTCCTAGCGGATTTTCTTTCAAAACCGAAAGCTGTTTATTGATACCTTTCTAACTGTTTGTTGACTATGTTCATCCTTGCGATAAGCAAGGTTGTTGCATCCGAGTCCTATACTTTTTCTCGTGTTTGATTGAGCTCCATTAATTTAAATTTAATCAAGCATCTGGCGTTGAGGTAACACACATGCTTGAGACCACAAAGACTTGCGGTTCGAATCCAGACGTTTCTGATTTTTTTGCAAACTTTGCTTTTTCTAAAACCCATTGGTGGAAGTAATTGAGTTGAAAAAACTCTTGAAGAAACTTATAATTAATATTTTTCGAATAGAAGTTTTATGGATATTTTCCAAAGTTTTTGATTCACCGATTAATGTGGACGAGACTTTCACACATACGATTTCTATGCGCGCGATTAGCAAGCATTTTAAATGAGGAACATAGATTCAAATATTATGAATCCTTTCTCAAATCTGAACTTTCGACGACCAACAGACTGCATTTTTACTTTACAATTATAATTACAATCTTCACAATTACGTATCTGCAGAAGTTTGATTGCAACTTTACGTTAGAAAGATAACAACGAGAATTGGAATGCAATTTCAAGTTAGAATGTTTTAGCGAGAATTGGAACCAATTATTACGGCGGAAAGATATCAGGTAGATTTGGAGTAATTTCAAATTTTGTTCACTAAGCCTGGCAGAACATAAAATCGTCGAGATGGCTTAACCATGGCGCGATAGGATTAATTAAACCCAATAACACAACTGTCTTACGCATTTTAGAATAGTATAGATGCAAAAAACGGGTGGCGAACAAGTGAAAAATCATAACTTTAATGACCTCTTTAAAGATAAAAAATGATTACACAGGTTTCTTTGCGGTTCACAAAAAATTTCAGGATGTGCAAATTAAAGCATAGCCGATAGGTAATTTGAAAATGTCAACGAACTCCGTAAACCATAAAAATGATTGGTTATTTTTTCGGAAATTCCTAAATTAGGAAATCTGAGAAATTATAATTTTATTGCAGCTCCTTGATTTTTATTTGCGTTGACATATACTTAATTTGAAAAAAAAATTAATAGGGTAATTTTCTAAACCGCTGACAACATGGAAATTGAAGTCGACTTCTGAAACTTCGTTGGTCGAATATCTTCAAGTTGAAGTCCACTTCTAAAATTTTGGAAGTTCGAGTTTTTGGTTGAGCGTTCTCCATCCAATGAGCTACTGATGGTAATCAGAGTTAGAACTGGGCCTGAATTTGTGGCCCGTGCCCATCCCGGTTGGTAAACAAAAATTTCAAACCCGGACACGGCCCGGGCCAATTTTTTATGAAAACACGAGTTTCTTAACAAAAAGTAAATTGGAATTCAAATGTGAATTTTTTAAAAAATCAAGTGATTCGATTTGGCTGATTTTTGCCGTAGAAAGGAGGGCACGCTTCACGCAGTCTCAAAAGGTGTGAAAAGTGTTAATGGAAGTGTAACAGGTGTGAACTCTTTTGAAAGTCAGGCCCCGGCTCGGTTGCTGATCCTAAAAATGAGGCCCAAGCCCGGCCAGGGCCCGGTTCCAACTCTGCTGGTAATACAGATGCTCAAAGCGTATAAGAATTTCAAACATTTGTCATATGTTTCTTCTACTTTTCCATACTAGTTAGCAGTCAGAGGCCTAACCCGAATGCTCATTGTTTTTTTGGCTGAGTTGTAAAATTCATGATGAGATTACAATATTCCATTTTGTAGTTTAAGGTATCAAATAGCATATTAGAAATGCATGTGAACATAGGCTCATCCAGGTCCAACAGAATCTCTCAATACTGCTCTTTCGGCAACCAACAGACATGTTTTGAGCCTTTCGGCATTTCAATACCCGTTTTTATGTTTCAGCTTGAAGATTCGGCTGAGAGACCTCATATTGGGTCGTTTGATGAGCTAAATTTTTTATGCTTGTGTGTTGGGGATTTAAAAGTTTTGTATGAGAACAAATTGAGCTTCTCAACACGAGGACGAATTCAGATAAACCGTTGAAAATATTGAAAGATCTGTTTTTTTTCAACATTTACATTTTTTTTACTGAACTGTTTCCATATTTTTATGTCGGCTAGTTTGCTATGCTATGATTGTGTTTTATCGGATTGCTCTAAAATGCCCGAATAGCCAGAATTGAAGATTCTCAGTTTTCATCGACACAAATAAATTTTTGGTTATTTTTATTGGAATGCAAATTACGAGCAATAGGGCTTCAATCAGGGTTGGCAAATTGTATGTTTTTTTTTAAAATAACAAACTAACAGTTAACTTTTGAAAAAAAACATGTTAATTATGTTAAATTGTCTATTATTCCATTAACTTAAGAAGCATAAATTTTCTTGAAAAGATGGCAGTTTTTCAGCTTTCTCGACGCCAAGTTGGGCACTGAGATTCCCATACGTGAAAACATCACATTGAAGAATTCCGAAAATAAACCAAAAATCCAGAACTGAAAAAATTTATCACTCATAAAAATTCTCATAACCCCTTTCCCCACAGCGAAAAGATATTCAATCTGAAAAACAGTTATATGCGGAGTGTTTTACCAAAAAAAAACTCATTTTCTATTTAATGTTAAATACCAATGTTAGTTAAATTGAATGTTAAATAACAATGTTAAATAACTTTCCAACCCTGGCTTCAATATGATATAAAACTTGACCCCTATACGAGTTTCCTTTGATGTGCTATGATTGTGTTTTATCGGATTGCTCTAAAATGCCCCGAATAGCCAGAATTGAAGATTATCAGATACCTGAGCTCTTAGAAAAAGCTCTTAAAATTATAAATAATGGTTTTAGTATATGGTTTGGGTAATTCAAGTTATGCGGTTAAAAGAAACTCGTCATTATAAGTTCAATCCAGATTAATTTGCTAAATCTATCTCATTACTATCTTCAAGTTGCAAATGGCGTGAAAAGATGTGAATGATTTATAGTTTCAAAATTGGATTTGAATTTTCCGAATTCCCAGCGGAAAAAAAAGAAATTAGCGATTTATCCATCGTTCATAAATTGGATTAGTTTTATCAAAAAATGTCAATAATAAATGATTCATAAAACTCAAAATGCGTTAATATAATAATTTTTTCTTCGAAATTCAAAAGCCGTCAAGGTTCGAAAAAAAAGTTGTCAATTTTTTTTGGTGACGTGAGTTCATTGCCACTTTTCCGACTGTCTTTTGGCTATATATTTTTGCTTTCAGATGAGATATGTCAATTGAATGATATTACAAAAACAATATGAGCTCTCTGTTTTCTGACTTCTGTCGCGTAATTGGTATCTCAAATGCATCTCGCTTACTGCAGCAGACTGATTCGTATTCTTTTCTGAACAAGTTCTATATTCCCGCTTTCTACCAGGCTATTCCGTACAACAACATCGAAGCTTTCAATCCTGACTCGAGGCAAGGGCTGTGCGATATTTTCAAGCATTCTTGAAGGATAATCTTGTCATATCAAACCAATAGGAAAAATTAAAATTTAAGTTTGAGTATATGGTTGGGTAATACATTGTTTGAAAAAGCTCTTAAAATTATAAATAATGGTTTTAGTATATGGTTTGGGTAATTCAATTTATTAGGAATCGCTGAACTTAGGCCCAATTGTACTTTTTGACGGTTTGATTTTTTGATTTCTTAAGTCCAATTAATTTCCCTTTTTAAAAGGAAGGCAAACTAAACTATCGAACAGCGAAAGTGTAAAGTCACGAAAATGGGATCAAATTCTCGTTTCGAAAATTGACCTTAATTCTCAAATTGGGTTAATTTCATCAAAAAAGGGCAATCATAAAATGTTCAAGAAGTTTTAGTGAGCTTTTAGTCATCTTTTTTTTCGAAAAGCGAGTCAGTATTTTCAGTTTACTTGCATAATTGACTCTCTTCCAATTATCTGTTGGCTATGTTCTTTATATCAAACCGTTTTTAAAATTATTTTCCAGTATTTACAGGTGATTAGAGTTTTCATGAATCGCACGCCTCTAACCCAGGTCGAATTTCTACAAGGGATGGAGTGGGTTTTGCAATGGGTCAAACACTTTCGCCGAAAAAAAAGATGACGTCATCAATTTGTTCATGCAGAAAAGAGGCGGAGTTTGCTTCCACCGATGTGCGTTTTCTTCTCTGGCGTTGAAAGACGATGGCATTGACAACTACTTGGGAGGCGCAATTATAAGAAAAGCTCCAGTTACTCCTCATAGTTTGCTGTTTTTGTCCGGTTTGAAGGGGCCTGATTCTCTGCACATGATGGAATTGGGTAATCGGATTGCACCTGTGTTTAACTTGGTCGACATGGACATTGATAAAGAGGGACAACTAGACGGCAGTCCAATCACCGTATCAAAAATAGTTAAAACTGATCAAAATCAAGGTTAGGTTATAACAAAGTTAGTGTATAAGGTAATTAAAATGAGTCAAATAATGAGACATAGCCCACAATTTCTCACATTGCTGAATATCTGGGTAGATTGAATAATCTCGGAACTTTTAAAAAAGAGCTTGCTTTTTCATAATTGTGCGCGCCAATCTCCACACTTCGTAATAAAATCTCTATTCAAACACTTGAATTAACGAGTATTTTATCGGGAAAATAACTCTGGAAATTTCGTAATATAATGATATTTTTAACAAACTTTTTTATTGTTATCGGTAACATCGGCACACAAAAAACTGCATAACTCAAAGCAAGCTGCAAAAATGGCCAGTATTTGTCCTTGAGACAAATTGCTCTTTTTAAAGGTCAGCCTTAATCAAGGCTGAACCAAATTAGAGCGAAAAGACGGTTAAAATCGGTTTTGGGGGGGACCGAACCTGGTTACGGAGCATCCCATCAGGTTCGGTGCACATTCGAGTTCTAGAAAGGAAATGACCTAGTCGGGATTCGAACCGGCGCCGAACCCGCCGGGACGCACCATGTATACGCTTGGCTACTGTCCCTGTATGCATTTACATTTATATGCATTTATACTTTCGCACATTTACGTTTATATGCATTTGTACTATTGTTTTATATTTGCGCTGCAACATCCTCCACCCCTAAACAAGGAAGAACGGGAGCGAGCTTTACGGTCGGGCGGGTCAGTTCGCTCGTAACGGTCTTTATGTCGGCGGATCGCGCGCATCCGTCTTTGCCGTAGTGTAGTTTAGCAATACGGGCGAGTGGGTAATGCCCACGTGGGCTGTCGGGTTCGACTACCCAAACCAAGTCGCCGGTTTTCAGTGTGATATCCGAATCATTATGCCACTTTGCTCTCTTGTTGAGAGATGGTACATATTCACGCAGCCAGCGTGACCAAACTGCGTTAGCGTACGATTGTGCTCTGGCGTAACGCTTTTTATGATCAAAGTTATCTTCGAAACTTAACGACGGGAAGCTAGCTGCGCTGTGACCGAGAATGAAGTGATTCGGGGTGAGTGCCTCTAGGTCGTGCGGATCGGAACTGACCGGAGTGATCGGTCTTGCGTTAAGTAATTGTTCAACTAGGCAGAGCGTTGTTCCTAGAACTTCCTCAGTTAATCTCCTGCTGCCTAATATGTCGTACAACACTCGCTTAACACTTCTCACTAGCCGCTCCCAGGCGCCACCGTGATGAGGGGCACTGGGCGGGTTAAACTTCCACTTAACGCCTTTGTGGACGAAAACGGCCGGGGCGACTTTGTTCCAATTTTGGACACAGGATAGGAGCTCCTTTTGAGCACCAACAAAATTCGTGCCATTGTCAGAAAGAATGGTTTTGGGGGTACCTCGCCTTGCAATAAATCGCTCTACGCCCATGACGCAGGAACTAGTATCGAGAGATGGAACCAACTCGATGTGAACTGCTCGAGTCGTGAGGCAGGTAAATAGGAAACCCCATCTCTTTTCGGTACTTCGGCGTATTGGCACTTGAAACGGGCCAAAGTAATCAACACCTGTGTTGGAGAAAGGAGGCTGCTTGTAACCCAGTCTTTCAATCGGTAGGTCAGACATAATGGGCACAACTGTTTTTGCTTTGCGCTTACGGCATGTTATGCAAGTATTTTCGATGTTCCCAAGTAACCAGCGCAACTTCAGAACAATGTATTTCAACTGAACTACAGCACGCATGTAATCCAACCCCTGATGTGCATGTTGAAAGTGCATATGCCTAATCAACATATGAGCAACTCGGTGTCGACCATCCAGTATTATTGGGTGTTTGCTATCAAAGTCGGTATCAACAAGACGGCTGATACGTCCAGTTGAACGCAGGATGCCAGCTGGGCCGATGAACGGAGAATATTTAGCAATCCGACTTTTCTTTGTTATCAGTTTATCGGACTGAAGTATTTTCACTTCGGCAGGAAATGATTCGGACTGAGCGAGATAAATGAGCTTCTGCTCGGCAATATCTAACTCGGACGGGTCGGTTATTTCCAGCGTTTTTGTACGGAAGCGTTTATGCGATGGTAGCACACGAAGCATAAATGCTAAAACACGTTTGTACTTTACAATTGAGCTGAATTTATCCCAATTTTTAAACAGACGGATCGACGGCGCTTTCTCAGATGAAGCATCAACAACAAACGTAGATGCAGTCTCAAGGCATGTATCAATGTCACAGAGTGGGCCTTTTAATTGGATCTTTTTAATGACATCAGTGTTCGGCTTGAATGGCCAATCACATGTCCTCAATATACTAGGGCCTCTAACCCAGCTGCTATCCTTGAGGGCTTCCGAAGAAATCCCTCGTGTGCCGGTATCAGCTGGGTTATCACCACTGAGTACATGATTCCATTGATCAATGGTGGTGGACTCCAAGATTTCACCAGTGCGGTTTCCAACAAACACAGGAAGTTTGTTGCACGAGTTAAGCCACTGGAGAACGGTGGTAGAATCAGTCCACATGAATACATTGCTTACTTTGAAAGTAAGCGCTTTCAAAATCTCTTCTTTGAGTCGAGTCGCAAGCAGAGCAGCCTGAAGCTCTAACTTGGGAATGGAGAGCATCTTCATAGGCGCTACACGGGCTTTCCCAAATACAAAAGCTAACTCGGTCTTTTGTGATTTAGCAAGTCGGGCTCGGAGAAACGATACGGCGCAAAAAACGTCCTGCGAACTATCACCGAACGTGTGAAGTTCACAGCGGTCGAACGGTTCGGTAAAGTAGCTACGAGGTATCGTCAGAGTACCTAATAGTGGAAGTCCTAAGTGCCAATCTAGAAATTGTTGTTTAATTTCCTCTGGGAGATCATCATCCCACTTTTGACCACTGATTCTCCATATGTCTTTTAGTAAAAGGCGCGCTTTCACAGTATATGGAGCTACCAGTCCTATTGGATCAAAAACTGAGGAAACAAAACTCAACACGGTGCGTTGAGTAATTGCTTTATCTAGTGGTCGATCAACACCTCTACTTACTACAAGGGTATCCTTTACATGATCCCACCTGAGACCAAGAACATGCGACGATTGGTCTGGACTCTTACAAATATCCTTAACTGACGGGTTGTACTCACGGTTGTCCGGATTAAGAGCGGTTGTAACTTCGGGTACATTGCTAACAAACTTTGTCAGGTTAAACCCACCTAATTTGAGCATTGCGACTAAGTCTTTACTTAGGCTAAGAGCGTCAGCGGTATTTTCGAACGAGTCAAGATAGTCGTCCATGTAAAACTTCTGGACAACGGCTGAAGCGGCTTCGGGGTATTCAGCTTGATTATCAGAAGCAGTTTTTTGTAGCGCGAAATTCGCACAAGTTGGCGAATCACGAGCGCCAAAAATATGACGGGTGTATTGGTGAACCACCACACTTGAAGTGGGGTCCTCCCGCCACAAAAAACGGAGAGACGGTTGATCTCGCGCAAGTACTCCAACTTGTAAGAACATACCTTCTATGTCCGCTGAGACGGCGTACTTGTGTTGACGGAACCTCAACAGTACAAAAATAAGATTTTGAAGGAGATCCGGACCAACCAAGAGAGATTTATTCAAGGAAGTGCCATGAAATTTGGATGCTCCATTGAGCACACGGCGCACCTTGCCGGGTTTGTTCGGGTTCAAAACCGGATGGTGTGGAAGATACCATTCACGTTCGGCTCGTGAGCTGGGATCGTGCGGGTTGACGGTTATGACATATCCTTTACTTATATCTTCTCTGATTGTTTCGGTATACTTCTCGCGAAGTAACGGATCTTTATCTAATCTTTTCTCTAACGACTTCAATTGGGCTAATGAAGAATAATAATTGTTAGGCAAGCTAACATCATTATCACTCCACAGCATCGGTACAGTGTAACGCTCACCATCGTGAACGGTTTCAGTTTTTAGGATCGACAAAGCACGCTTGTCTGCGGCGGAACGGGCATCTACTTGCTTGAACGCACCATACGACTCTAACTCATACCAAGTTTTGATTTGGTCGGTCAGAGAAGTATCGTCCGTAACGCAGTTAAAGGAAGAAGAATTTAAGGACGAACGATCAGGAGACGGACCACTAATGACCCAACCTATCGGAAGTCGGACGGCGCACGGTGAGTCAAGTTCATCTCCGAAGACATGTTCGAGGGGTCTTATCGCATGATAGAAGTCCTGTCCTATAACTATCTCAATCTCTTTGTAATTATACGCAGTCGTCTTTAACGGGGCTAGTTGCGGGTATTTGACCTGCAATTCGGAAACGTTTATAACATCGGGTCCTATATACATGTTGTGCCTAACGAAAGCGACAAACGAAAACGAAAATTCATTTTCATTGGGCTTTGCGGAAACTTTCAAGTGAACTCGTTGAGTTTTAGATGCCTTGGCTGAGTTAAAACCATCGGTCGTAACATTTACGGGCGTGCCAACTAATTTCAGACGTTCAACGAGTGCCGCGGAAACCCAAGAATGAGTGGAACCGGTGTCACAAAGTGCTAGTGCATTCGAATTTTCCGAACCAGAGGACACATCTACCAACGCAACGGGAAGAATACCTTTTGCAGTTCCCTCACAAGGTTTAACACAAGCTGCGTTATTTGCAGAAGTAGTGTTTGTATTAGTTTGAGTCGATGGTGATCGGTCGGCCTCTTTGGGCGGGAAAACTTTCTCGGCTCCATGAAGAAGCACATTGTGAGTGCTCTCACAGTCCTGTTTTGGGCATTTTCTTGCCTTTTGGCACCTTCGGAAGGTATGGTTGCCTTGTAAACAAGAAAAACAGAGCTTTTGTTCTGCTACATATTTAGCCCTTTGTGTTGCGTTTTTCTCTTTGAACACGGCACAGTTCCAGAGTGCATGCTGCCCTTTGCATAGCGAGCATGGAGAAAACCTTGTCTTTTCTCTACTTTTCTCATCCTTAGAACTTACCTTAGTGTTACCTGCAAGCACTTTTGTAACTACTTTTTGTTTAACTGGTTCTTCAGACTTACCCTTAGAATTGATCGTTTTCAGCCTCTCGTGACCCTCCGCTTTTTCTTTGAGCCATTCATTGAAATCTAGCAGAGTTGGTCTATGCCATTGGCGTCTTACGGTTTGCATCGACCATGCCTCCTTAAGGTTCGGGGGAAGCTTACTCACAGCCTGATTCAGTAAGTTAACACTTTTCAGGTCGTCGTTAAAAGACAGAGACTTGAATACGGCAACAAGTCCAGAAATTGCAGAGGAAAATCCAATTACATTTTCCGAGTTATGCATTTTCAGCGGCGGAAAATTACTCAATTTATCTAGGTGAGCCCCTACTACAGCATGCGGCTGCCCGAATTTTCTTTGAAGAGTTGCTAATGCGTCTTTATATAGTACTCCGCTATAGCTATACTCAGCGATTGCGGATTTTGCTTTACCCACTACGAGCGTTTTCAGATAGGTAAGCTTTTCATCGTCACTGAGTATGGCTGAATCGACCGTCGATGTGAATTGCCCAAACCACTCATGCCAATTAAGTGGGTTGCCATCGAACTGGGTCAGCTTCCACTCAGGGAGATGATCTTTTCGGCTGTGCATGAGTATATTAACCAACTCTCGTGTCGAAAGTGGACGCTCGACGTCTGCACCAGGTGAATTACCGGGAGTTGGCTCTGTGTAACTCGAAGAGTTACCGTGACAATCAGGAACGAACGGTTGATTAGCATGTGAAGAAATTTCAGGCTGTGCAAAGAACACAGTCCCTCCACTTGTATAAGGAACAAAATTATTCGTAGGAACAATCGGAGTTACTGCGGAAAAAACAGTTGTCGAAGGAACGTAGTGCTGTTGAGTTGACATTAAAGGGGTAGCAACAGCTGGTCTCCACAAATTACTATAAGGATTGTAGTGGTCACTTGAAAAGTTATGACTACTAACGGGAACACCCATATGTTGTTGTGATGGGGCTACAGGTGCTTGGTAGCTAGCTACTACTGATCCTGCAGTGTGATGACTTAAAGAAACATGATTAACTGCTGTTGATGCAGGAACAAACGGTGTTACACCAGAAGGAACTTCTGCAGATGATGGCGGAGCAAAATAGTTTTCAGAAGTTACCGGGACTACTGAACCTGTGTTTGGATTGCCTAGCACCGGATGAGTGGACAAAAAAGTTTGCTGAGGCAAATTATTAGAAACAGGTTGAATGACCTGCTGTAACCCTACTGGATTGTTAACGGAAACCTGCGATCGGACCAAATTCGACAAATTATGATGTTGTCCGTGAATGTGGTTACTGTAATACAATCCCGGATCACTAGAAGCTGCGTGGCCGTTATTCACGCCTGTAAAACTTGATGAGACCAAGTAATTTGTTGATGCAGGATAAGTTGCCTCAGGAGCTGTTGACCGAACGTGCTGCTCTTGATTGGGAACTACAACAGCATCAGGCTGATTGTGGTCGACAGATTCGACCCAGTGACGCGTACGATCCTTTTCGTCTATTGATAGTTGTGGAGAGATTCGAGTTAAACCACTTTCCTCAGCATTCTCGCTGATTTCCGACAACTCATCTTCTAACTCAAACCCTTTCAACTCAATTTCTGCCAGTTTTTTCCTATGTTCTTCAGCCAATTCTTCCAACTCTAAACTGCTTTGTTGTTCTAAAACATATTGTTTCATCTTGTTTTGCTGCTCTTTCAGTCTTAATGATACCTTTGCCTGCCTCTCAAGTTCTTCTTGTTGTTTCTTTAAAATCATTAAGTCGCGTTTTTTCTCAGAAAGTGTTTTCGACGGAGCGGCGGTATAACTAGATTTCTGAGAACCTGTTTGCTGATGTCGGCTGCTTCGGTGCGACACCTTAGAGCGGGTATCTGTTTTATGCGACCGGGGTTTTTCACTTTTTTCAGAATGATGAGAAACTTTTGAGCAGCTATCTATTTTGTCCGGCTCTGTTACTGCCTCAAAACTTGTTTTATATGTGATAGCTTCCTGCAGAACTTTATCGTTGCTTTGAGTCAACTTATGAAGCCACATATCCTGTGCCGGTATCAATTCGTCGGGATTGGCACTTTTTGCAGCCATATCAATCAACTCAGTATTTATCTCGACCGCTTGTTCTATATAGTTCCTACATTTTTCAATATAAGTATCAATTTTTGAGCAACGACTCTGACTCTCTATGTATTCTAAAATTATCTCGTGGCATTTATAAAGTTCGTTTTCGAGAGTGCTACGTTTCTCAAACAACTTCTTAATTTTCTTCTGAAACTTAACTTCCATGCTTAATAATTTCAGAAATAAACGACTCTCAGAAAAAACTGTATTTTCACTCAAGTAAATCCACAAAATACTCTAATACATCAATAACTTACAAGGGGGAGTAACTTGAAGTTTTAACGCTTTAAGTCTGTTGTGAATCGCTCTACGATTTTTAGGCGATAATCGATTCCGCTTCTTCTTAGCTTTCAGTGTATTTAGGTCAGCACTGTATCGTCTAAGTAACAACAGAGTCTTCAACTCAAGGGAAGGGGGCTGGTGCAGCTCTTTATACTTTTCGATAAGTATTTGGTCTTTGGCCTTTCGCTTTGAGATAAAATCCTCAACTATGTTAAGAACGAGAATACCTGTCTTTTTCAACTCCTTTTCTATATTGTTCGTACCGTTGCGGCGACAGTATACAATAGCGGTAATATTCTCCTTGTATCTCAAAAGAAGGCTCTTAAGTTGATCAGTACTCAAACTGCGGTTGTTGTTACTGCGGTGCTTACTAATGGAGTTATTTATGGCGTCGTGCCAAATAACTAGATCTTTCCGATTCGACAAAAAGTGATGCAGATAGTATTGGATAGTTTTCTGCGAGTCCCTGGCGTTAAAGTTAAAGCTTAAGCCGGGCTTTGTGAAACAAGTCTCTTTCACGCGCTTTTGAGACGGTGCGGATAGTATACGGAGCGCGTGATCCAAGGAACTAGCTCCTAGAATGAATACCATACACTCAAGAGACCTATGCGACGGCTACGTTACGCTAAAGTACCAATGGGGTGGGGAAATTAAGTAGGTCGGTTGAACTCCAACAACACACACGGAGTAAACCTGAGGATAAAAGACTTCAACTTAACTCACTTAATATCACCGTACCTGACCACTTAACATTAGTGTCGCGCAACGAAGTCAATAATCGGACGGGCTGAAACGGCTTAGCTTTACTTGAACCAATGGGGTGGGGAAATTAAGTAGGTCGGTTGAACTCCAACAACGCACACGGAGTAAACCTGAGGATGAAAGAATTCAACTTAACTCACTTAATATCACCGTACCTGACCACATAACATTAGTGTCGCGCAACGAAGTCAATAATCGGACGGGCTGAAACGGCTTAGGTTTACTTGAAGCGTACTGGCTTTGAGTTTCACCAATGCGGGTGGGGGATCAGGCAAATTGGTTAAGTTCCAACAACACACGCGGAAAAAACCTGAGGATGAAAAAACTCAACTTAATTTGCCTGATATTTTGCTACCAGACCACTTACCATAAGGTTGGTGTCAAGTTACAGCACAGTTTCGGAGAATTATGGGGACGTTTTGAGGAATTTTTTGCCAATTTTTTTTTTTTTACTTTTTTCCCAAAATTTTTCGGAAAATTTTGGTCAGCAGGTTCGAGTCGTAAACCAATCCAAAAAACTAGTCTAGTACCCCTTGTCTATGATCCGATTTTTTGGATTTTCAATCCGTTCACAATTACCCAAAAATTTGTGGTATCGGGAAAAAATACCACTTGTAGCTTGCTTTGAGTTGAGATACACAATAAGACACCGTATGTAATTTTATTGCACAAAAAAGTTTATAAAGATTAGACTAGTCTTACAGTTTTTGACGGTTTTGGAGATTGGGCGGTCACCGGTTTCGGGTTGTCAGACCTTCGGTCAGTCGCAGAGAAATTGTTCGGCAATCACTTCTCCAACTTACACAAAACGTCTGCAGTTGACTTGTACTCACACAATACGTCTGTTGTTGATAGTCAGGATATCGTAAGTTGGTTTGGTGTAGTAATTTTCTGTAGCTATATTTCCAAATGAATCAATCGTGGCAAAATTCCGATATTTCCGACTATATTTCCAAATGAATCAATCGTGGCTGATTGAATCGTATTGTGCAATTTCGAGAGAAAAGACTTGTGAGAAAAGACTTCGGTGTCCCTTCCTTCGTGTCCCTTGTGCAATTTCGCGAGAAAAGACTTGTGAGAAAAGACTTCGGTGTCCCTTCCTTCGTGTCCCTTGTGCAATTTCGCGAGAAAAGACTTGTGAGAAAAGACTTCGGTGTCCCTTCCTTCGGTCCCTTGTGGGGCGCCAAAATTGTGCGCGCCAATCTCCACACTTCGTAATAAAATCTCTATTCAAACACTTGAATTAACGAGTATTTTATCGGGAAAATAACTCTGGAAATTTCGTAATATAATGATATTTTTAACAAACTTTTTTATTGTTATCGGTAACATCGGCACACAAAAAACTGCATAACTCAAAGCAAGCTGCAAAAATGGCCAGTATTTGTCCTTGAGACAAATTGCTCTTTTTAAAGGTCAGCCTTAATCAAGGCTGAACCAAATTAGAGCGAAAAGACGGTTAAAATCGGTTTTGGGGGGGACCGAACCTGGTTACGGAGCATCCCATCAGGTTCGGTGCACATTCGAGTTCTAGAAAGGAAATGACCTAGTCGGGATTCGAACCGGCGCCGAACCCGCCGGGACGCACCATGTATACGCTTGGCTACTGTCCCTGTATGCATTTACATTTATATGCATTTATACTTTCGCACATTTACGTTTATATGCATTTGTACTATTGTTTTATATTTGCGCTGCAACAATAATTCTTTTTTTTCCAGAAAAAATCTGCAATCCAATTTTTAGTTATTATCATTTGTCTTTTTTCAGAACCAGAAAAACTGGAATTCCAGCAACTCAGTCGCAAAAAACGGGAGCCAGATGCACTCTTCAGATACTATTTTGACTTTGACACTCGAAGACATGAAACACTTTCAGAAGACACATCTGAATTGCACATAGACTGCTCAGAATCAGATAAAACTCCCTGCAAAGATTTCGATGATAGGTTTCAGAAAGAAACAATTGGTCGGATTTGGATGATAGTCGGCATGGATCCCTCGGGATGCTTTGTTGAGTACATGAATAATGCTTACAGAAGGTACCAAAAAGACGGCCAACTGGCTACTCAAAAGTTCTTTATGAACAAAAAATCCATGTTGGCGCAAACTCTGAAAGATTTTCCTCAATTTGAAGAAAGATTAATCTCGCGTTGCTTAGATGCGGCTATTACATTAGACCGAACAAAGTCGCCAAATTCTTCTATGTGGCCGAAACTATCATAAATTTGACATAGTTTAGTTTCAAAGCGTTGCTCGAAGAATATTGAAGTTTTGAGAAATTAATCAGCATAAACTGTAGTGATCACCTTTAAAGATTCTATACTACAAAATTCTATACTACAGATTCTATACTACAAAGGTATATTGGTTGCTAATGTTACTAAATTGGTTGAGACTTAGAACTACTATAGACCTAAAAAAAAAATTGGAAAGGTAGTTTGAAAGTTTGTCTCCCTTGCAAGAATTCTAGAAAAATCTCTGGGAATTGGTCAGAAGCTTTTGTGCTACCGCAGTGCCACAGGCTCCAAATTTATATAATTTTTCGAATTATTTCATTTTCAGATATTGATAATGTGCGACTCCTATGAGTGCGAGCAAAACGACAACTCGACTCTGAACGGAAGCTCGGATTCCCTTGCCTCGTCTCAGGGACCTCGGAAAGGCGACCGCCGGATTACTCACTTCGACGATTCCAAATGCAAGAAGTGCTCTTCACCAAGCCCCGCTGTGAAAGTTCATGCTCAAGGAAGCCACTGTCGGGACTGTTTTCTAATATATGCAAGACACAAATTCAGGTAATTTGTGTCAAATATTTTAAAGTAAATTTAGGTACAATTTTGAGTAATTTGATTGCAAGAAATCAAGTTGGGTGGAAAGCTGATTTTCTGTGCAACATAAAAAATGTAACCATACTAAACTTTTCAGTTTATATAAAACGGCTAAATACTTTATATTATCTGTTTGTCCGCTTATTTTAGTCCTACATTCTAGTTGACTTCTTTAATCGGATTGGTAAAGAAGTTCGATTGTTGAATTGCAACTACGAATTTTTTACCAATCCGATATAAGAAGTCACCTGGATTTTAGGACTAAAATAAACAAACAATTTGACAATGTTTTAGTTTTAGCCATTTAACACAAACTGAAGAGTTCTGAAAAATTTAGTAGTTGAACATATTTTATGTTATGCAATATTAAAATATTTGAACATTCTTAGGTCGACTATTGGGAAAGAAGGCATAATTCCTTACGGTGCCAAAGTGGTTCTAGCCTATTCGGGCGGACCCGCCAGCACGGCTATGGTTAAGCTGCTCGGAGACACTTTGAAAGAGACTAAAAAGAAGGCGAATCTCAACTTCGATGTCAAATGCGTAACTGTCGATTTGAGTTTTCAAAATTCTGAAGCTACAATTGAATTTGAAAACATGAAAAATTATTGCAGTAAAATGGGATTTGAATTATACGTTGTTAGTGCCAAGAAATGGTTTGCCGATAATGCAAGAGTTTCATATGAGGATTTTATGTCAATATCAGATAACACTCTCAAATTAGACCGACAGACACAAATTATTCGAAAAATTCTGACCGATTTTGCTTGCGAGCACAATTTTGATTGGCTTATGATTGGTCAATCACTATTCAGATCGGCAGTCAATGCCTTAACTCAGGTCTGCCAAGGTCGAGGAGCTGACCTTGGTAGCATCTGCAAGTTCTCAGATTCGAGAATGTCAAAAAATGTCTCCATTGTTTTTCCGATGAAAGAGTTCACGAGTAAAGAAGTGGCTTTTTTCAACCAGTTTGAAAATCTGAAAAGTTTTAAGTTTTCAGACTTGGAAACGGGAACAGATTCGAATTCGTCCATTCAAAGATTAACGGAACATTTTCTGCTGAACCTACAAATCGACTTTCCGGCAGCGGCTCCGAATGCCCGAAACAGTGGTGACAAAATTGTGCCCCGGTCATCTGATGAAATTAGCGCAGGAGAATTATGCTCACTTTGTCTTATGCCATTTGACAGTACAGTGGAAGAAGCGGGAACAGATAATGCAAGAGTAGCAGCTAGTTTTTCGCAAGAATTGTGTAATCCAGACAATTTAACTGATCGAACTAACAAATTCTGTACATATTGCAAACTCGAAGACATATTTGGCTGAAAAGAAAAGTGATCAATTCATTTTTTCACAAATGCATTTTAACGTAACTCAAACGAAAGGAACCTATTGATACAATATTTGAGTTTTTTTGTTCTTGATCGAAATTTGCTTCATGCTCATCTGAACATTGCCGCATATGCATAAGATTTTTCCTCAACCTGCTGTTTCTTTTGAACTTATGACCCTTTTTTTCTAAATCTTTTTGACTTATCTGGAAAACTACCCCGCCAATTCCCAGTTTTCTTCGCTACATGAACCGATATGCCGTTTGTAGAAAAAAAGGTATAATATTCGAAAAAGTCAAATTTGGCTATTTTTGTGACTGTTTTTGGAATTTTTTTGACTTCTTAAAAATTACCCTACCAAATATGAGATTAAGAACTAAATCGAGAAAACGGGTTGTGAAGTTTTTTCCTGCTGAAACATCGACTCGTTAATTTTTCTTAAAAAAATAACATGTTTTGTCTTTGGAAAGCTCCACATTCTGAACTTTTTGCCGCTTTCCAAAATGTTTCACTCTTCTCCAAATTTACCCCGACAAATCTGAGATTTAAAGTTATATCGCGAAATCAGATAATAAGAATCTTCCCGGTATAAATGGCTTCGCAGTCAGGGGTTCGATCAAAAGAACTGGATGCGATAAAAGTCCACTTCCTTGCTCAATTTAATTTTGAGTTCATTCGTAAGAACGGGTTATAAGTATCTCCCCTACACTAGCGGATCGTCACTTATTTTAGTAGAGAAACAATTAAGATTTTGGTTTTTTGGAAATACTGCGTTTCATCCTGCATGAGTGAAACATATTCTTCAAAGTATCGAACAGATACCTCTATCTTTAGCTGGGCCCTTAGTTTTAAGTGTAATTGAAGATTGTTCTGTGGTTAGTAATTTACCACATCTGGATTTAAAAAATAGTTCGGTTCGGCTTATTCAACTTACGTCGCGTAGTTTCATGGGCGAGATTTAAAATGCTTTTGACTTTTTCAGAAGATTTTTATGACTACAGTTTTTTTCGGCGCAATGATAGTCGATCTAAGTTTTTGGCCTCAGGTGACGCTCGTTCATTGATTCTCAATGTTCTAAGGCTCTTTATGAACATCATCCAAGCCAGGTTTATGAAATTTTTGTAGATATAGTTTTTGCTATTTACGAGTAAGTTTTCAGCTTAACTTTTCAGTTTTATCGCAAGTGCTGCGAAGCTCCGCTTCGCCTCTATATATTCTAGAAACACTTAAAATTTTCTGTTTGTTGTCGGCTTCATGGCTTTTGTTTCTATTTTTGTACATTTAGTTTCCTTATGATTTGAAGTTTCCAATGAATTGGAAAGCTAATTACGGGCTGTTTTCGAAAAAGCGTATAGATTCATGTATACCCGTAAAATAATCAATAGTTTGGAATAGGCCGATAAAAATTTAATATGGAAAAGCGTTTTTTGCTAAGATATTTGAATTGAACTACTGTATACCACCTAATGATGTATCTAATTACACAAGTCAGCAAGCGAGTGTAGTGTTATATTATCAATCAACCTTTAATAACCCAACTCGCCAAAAAAGCTCATTTTGAGTCACTTTTGCTGCATAGCATTCGCGATTGAATCGCATCTGTTCTATCTGCTTTAATAATGATTAGTATTTGCCTATTGGCGCAGATAAAAGGACGTGAGACTCGTAATTAAGAGGCCGGCGGTTTAATTCCGGGCCGTTCCAAAGTTTGGTTTCAAATCTTAATTTAACCTTTTCTTGCCTTATCAGTTTGTAGCTGTTGAAAGCTACTGTTTTCCTTTTTTGCCTTTTGCGAACTGCAGTTTCTCTTGTGTGGCAGGATTGATATTCTTCTTCTAAAGTTTTTGAAATAGAAATGATTTAAACATTCTGATTTTTACACAAGCAAACCTTGTGTTATAGTTTGAACTCTTTTTTTTCAACTTAAGTCGCAAATATTGTTGCGACAACATGTGTTCATTTTGAAAGTGTTCATTTTGATCAATAACCGGCTATTAAGAACAGCCAATGCTGAGGATATTAACACAGCCTATTTTATTACAAATAGCACTTTAGCTTCAAATATCACGGATCTGTAGCGTAGAGGTAGGGAAGGAGACTCGCAACAAAGTAAGAGGGTTCGAACCTGGGCAGGGTTGGATGTTTTTAATGAAATTTTTCGTATACTAGTTAAAATGCGTCCGCTCTATAATTTTATGTATGTTAATTGGTATTTTTTTTTCAAATTGACTGGTACTGCTAATGCCTCATAATTGGTTTGCGTCACTTAGCATTTATGTAGACTCATATTTGGCGTGCGTCACTTAAGAAATTTTATAGACTCTAAGTTATACTCATTCAGTTTTTCTCAGTAGCTTTATCGGTCATATTTTTGCTTGTGCATGCGAAGTGCAACTTCGCCTCTGTGTTGAATCAAATTTTTCTTATTTTACAAAAATTAACAGAAATTAAGCTAGTTATGAAAGTATTGTTGTTTTTCTTTCCTTTTTTCATTAGATATATGTTTCCATATTTTTTGTTCATGAAGTATTCACAGTGCGCTTGCTCAGCTGCGCTTGTTCAAAATCGTGCGCGCTCTTTCTATATAATTTTGATAATTACTGATAATTATTTCCGCTTCCGTGTCAGAAATGTTTTGGTGTATTCTGTCAATTTAGTTGCCTTTTCATAATTAACTGCCACAAACTTTTGTGTTTGCATCGAGTATCCTACGAACCTAAAAAATTAAAATGTTGCCATGTTTTCTAATTGGTTTTTGTAATTTCTGTTAATTTTCCCCAACATTTTGTCTATGTCTGATGTTTTTCTTCACTTCACTGTGTATAACCAGTGATCAAGAAAGGTGGTTATTCCTTTCTTGTATTGCTTTCTAGAATCCTGAATAATTCATGACCTGGGTCAAGAGATTGTAATAATTTGGAGTCGACTAAATTGTATTCTTTGTTTTGTATTTGTGCCAAACAAACCTTTGTTTGGCAAAAATTCATAACAAAACAAAGAATAAAGTTTGGTTGGGCTGTTTTGGAGGCTCCCTTCGAAATAGTTTTCTTATCAATTAGCTTGGTACTTTCTGCGTAATTTTTGATTTACTAAAAAAAGCCAAAATGTGTCATTTTTGGTGGAAAATTTTGGTTCCGAGTTTTCGCAAATTAAGTTGCACCATTTTAATTCTGGTCAAGTTCTAAGCAATTTTCGTTCTCTTCATTTTTTGTCGAACTTTGCCCCATTTTAAGAAAATTGCGTTTGAAGTTTCAAATTTCGTTGGTTTTGTCCGGATTATTTGAATCAGCATTGTATGCATAATGACAACACATTGTTTGCCTATAGCAAAACTTATTTCCTTTAAAGATAAAACTTTACTGGCTGCCATTTCTATAACAGGTTAAAGTTTATTGAGAAAAAAATTTACCGAACAGTTTTTTTTTTGCTTATTACTTTGAACTGTTCCAAGAAATAAATAATGATTATTTCAATTTTCAGCTCCTTTTTCATTTTTCAAAAACTGTTTTCTTAATCATCATTGAATGAAGTGGCGTCTAGGCTGATCAATAGTTTAATTGTCATAAATTCAAGATCAAAAAAGCGTTTGTTCATTTCACTATTTAATTTCGACGCACCCTTCATCTTCTATCTTAACAGTTGATTTAGCCCCATAACAATGCCAATTACCCTCATTGGTCAATTTCTAGTTCGTGTTTGAGGCTTTATTGCTTTGTTATAACTTTCCTTAAATTTACATTAAATTTTCGCTTTGTTTGTTCTTGTAATAAATTATTTATTCGGTCACGCCTGAAAACTTATTTGAAGTCAATTCATCCCTGTTTTTGCCCACCTTTTCAAATAATGTGTTGAGTATCCCTTATAAAAGCGAGTTTCCATAGAAACCGCCCTCTACGCTTCTTTATTACGCGTTAAATTTCTAAATATAAATAATTTCGCTGGTTGGTTTTGAAAAATATTTTTGGGCGTTCATGTCGGTAAATCGGAATGTTTTCATTGATAAGACAATTTTCTGATAAATAGTTGGTTTCAACAAAAAAAACATTTTGTCCAACTATTGTCCAACTGTTTAGTTCGCACTTTTCACAATCTTCTTTTCAATTTAACTTCAAGAGATTGGCTTAAAAATTGATTTAAATATTGATAGCTGGGTAATCTTAATTTATACACGATGAATGGGACATTGGAACATACAGAATTCAGAGGAACCCCTAACGCCTGTTCTTCCACCGACGCGCCTCCATTTTACTGGCTAATCAGTCTTTCGTTGGGCGTGGCAGCAATAGCTGGAAATGGACTGGTCATTCTAGCAAATGTCATGAAGAAAGTGAAACGCAATCCCACTAATTGCATCATCACTAATTTGGCATCTGTGGATTTCCGTGAGTCAAGTCAGGATTCAGGAACTGAGCATTCTAACTTGCGATTCGGAATCAAAAACGCAATATTTATGAATAGAAAAAATGATTTTTTGAGGACCGTCATCCTTTTTACCAACGTCAAATTTACCAACAACAGGTTAAAAACTTTTTAAAAGAATGATTTAAATTCGATCCTGCCGACAAATATTTTGAAGTCAAACTATTTTTAATCCGAAACTGACAAAAGTTCTTCAAAAATAGAATTTTGAAGAAATATAGAAAATGTAGAAACTGACAAAAATTCTTCAAAATGTAAAATATTTTGAAGCCAAGCTAATTTTAATCCGAAACTGACAAAAGGTCTTCAAAAATGTAGACTGTTTTTTGGGGGGTTTTTACTTTTCAGCGCTTAACGAAGAACCGCTGTTGTGCGCCTGGTTAAGGCTTACACGCATTTTTTGGTTATTTTTCTTGGCTGGGTAATGCTGCCTCACCCTCAAGCAACAAACACGATTCTTTGGTGGGCCTCGAAACTCCATTTTTTCGATTGATAACTGGAGATTTTGGCCACTTCACCACTTCGCAAAAATACAACAAATATAAAGAGCTAAAAATAAATTGGTGTTGTTCCAAGATGGAATTTTCTTAAAGATAAATAATTTTGTAATTTGTTGGCTAATTAACCCTCTCTTGAAAATGAGTTTAAATTCCGACCATTTGAAAAATGGGAAGAAACCTCGTATTCTGGTGTGTTTTAATTTTTCTTCTTTTGTTTTCCCCGCAAAATACAGTCCGTCAGGTTTTTAAAACTTTTTCTTGTCTTTTTTCGACGAAAACCGATGCACGAGATCTTTTCATTACACCCCTCAAAAAAAACAACGCAAATTTGAAAACAACTATGAAAAAAACTTTATTTTTAAAGAATATCGCCGGAACATTCTGTAACTTGCACAGCAATCGGCTATTCTTATTTTAAATTATTTTTGTAAGTAATAAATTTTTCTTCGTCTCATTAACTTTGATGTGTGTAGTGAGTGGTGTATCTCTGATCCTGTTCCATACACTGCCCACTCTCTCAAAACCAGCGGGGAGGGGAGTGGGGGCTCAACTTTTCTGTCGTCTCTACTGTTCCGATTACCCATTGTGGGCACTCCTCAATTCATCCATCTTCAATCTTCTTCTGGTGATATTTACGCTCTAACTTAAAACCAGTTCTTTTCATTGTATGAGGGAGTTATTTCATAAGTGAAAATTCAAAAATAAGTTCTTATAGATTTGCACTAACAATCGTTTCTGCTCAGATTATTTCATAACTCGCAGCCAAAAAATAAGTTTTTTTAAAGATTTTTACACTCAAAATTGAAACAAGCTTTATTCACTCTTGTCCGATTAAATCATTTCAGAACACCTAGCTCTCAAGAAACACGTTGATTTAATTAAATTAAAATAAAATTGATTTCATTGTCTCTATGATGATGTTTAGTTTTTTTTCGCGGTTGTATGAAAAATAAGACTAAAAGTTTACTCTTTGTGAGTTGCTCTGGTTTTGTGAATAGCTTAAAGTTTTTTTGAAATTTCTTTAGTTTTGTCAAATGTTTCATTGAAATTTGTTGTTATATTTCTATGCAGGTGACGGTTGACCGCTACCTGTGTGTGATCCGACCCTTTTGCCACAAGGATGTATTCGGCAGACGGTCGGTGTTGACCACTTGTATCATCATGACTTGGTTGCTGGGCATGATCTGTTAGTAATTCGTTAGAAACTCCGCCTTTTAATTCCCTTACTAGTAGTAGCTTCAACTTCATGCCATTTAACTTAGAACAACACTAAAATGTTAAATCATTTATCAAAACAATTATCGAAAAAAAATAATTTAAACAGTTTAACTAGGCTAGGTTAGCCGGTAGTACAAATTGTTCCGACCACGCCTACCTTTATTTAAAAAATATTAGGAAAAATCAGAAATTGAAGTTTTTTTCTAATTTTTTTAAAAATTATTTGAAAAATTGGGCGGATAAAATACACTCTACGTCATAACCCCTTGCCACCCTTTTAGGCGGGATGGGGGCCAGGGGTGTAATGGAACAGTAATATCGCTTATCCAAATTACAAAGGATGTTTTCTAGTATGATAAATACTCAATGGAGAATCAACCGCGGGGGAGGGGGGATGCCATCCATTTTGCCATAGCCGGTCTCACCTTGAGGAAGCGGTTGACTCTTGAACGTCTGCAGCTCCTCAAAAGTTATCCCGATGATTTTTTCTAAGTTTTGGGTCCTTATATCGGGTTCTCACTCTTTTTTTTAAAAAGAATAAATTCACAATTGTGTTCTTCAGCTGAAGGGGTATATTTGCATTGGCCAATCAGATAGTATACATTTGATGCATTTCAAATTGGTTATACTTAGTCTGTTCTTTTCGCTTTCTCTTCTGTTTACGCTTTCTAAATAGTGTGATTTTTTCCCGATTTAATTAAGGGACATAACGTTCCTGACATTTAGTTTTAACTTTTTTGGTCTGTTTTTTTTTCTAACAGTAATGAGTTAGGACCGAGTTGGTTAACTCATAGAGTAATTTCGGATAGGGTACACCGTCTGCTCGTCACGCTATCTTATTTTCGGCCGGATAGATTCGTGCAACTTCTTAGTCTAATACCGATCCTAATCTTACTCTTATACTATCTAGTCTCAGGTTGTTTAACTAGTCTCTGCTAGGCTCAATAGATCTAGGGTATACTGGTTTATTGCGGCTGCTGAAGTGCTCGGGAGAGTCCAACTAATTTCTAAGTTAAATTCAAATCTCTCTGGTGCTGAAATTACAAGTAACTTCAGCACTTACAAATAAGTGGGTTGTTAGTTAGATGGATCATGATTGGTTAATATTAAATACTTTACATTGGTAAAATATCTAATTTATCCAATCATAAAATGTAGTTTAGATCAGGTTCCACCCATCCGGGTTTTACAGAGTTTTTTAGAATAGTTCTTCTGCAATTTGAAGGATGGATGATGGACGTTGGTTTTTGGCGAACATCATTTTCTTCCGTTTCCTCTTTGTTAAAGAAGTTCCAGGAAGCTGGAGTTAGAGACATAAGACGTTGTGTCTTCTAGTGACAACGACTAAGTCTTTGCCACAAACTCAAATCTGATTTCAGAATGGTTGGCTATGTCAGGTTTTTCTGTTCTGCGTGGAGAACTTCTTTTGTGTCTGATCTAGTTTGGGAATGGCGTGGAGATTGTGCGTGGAGGGGATGCCTGGTTACTCGGATCTGTACGTATACTTGAACATCGAGGTGGTCATTGGTCTAGTTCAATGAAGTCCTTTTCTGCGAAGTCAAGTCGTACTCTAAATCCTTTGAGTTGTGATTGTGAGTGGCATATCGATTGTGGTTGGTCATTCTCTCTCGAGTGTAGTGGGATCTTTAGATGTTCGTCCTTGGTGTTGTATTCTGATCTATGTATTGCATAATGTAATTTACATTTTATAAAACATTTATTAGTTTAATATTTTTTAATTATGATTTTAGTTAGTTGTTTTCACAAAAGCTTTTTGTTTTAGTTCGGTTATTTTGAAGAGTTACTCACACTTGAGTAGCTCTTATTAAAAATAGAGGTGTGGTCACAAAGCGTGGATGTAGCGCGGTGGGTTAGGCCGGCTATAGAGCATGCTCAGGACGTCCTTCCTGGTGGGTTAGGCCAGGAGTGGGAGTATGATTTCATGCGGTTTTTGTGAGGGGTCCTGTTATGTGACAACGTTTTATGTTGGGTTTGTTGTGGTTTTTCTTATGTCTTGTTGGTTATGTCCTTTTTCCAAAAAGTAAATTGTTCGTGGTATGGGTTTGTCTTTCGACTTTTTTGTGTTTTATTATTTCTTTCTTAGACTTTATAATAGTCTTCAAAAGAATAAATTATCCAGTTTTAAACTGGGTTAATCCGGTTTGGGTACCGTTGGTTTCCTTTTCTTAGTCATGCTGTTATTTTATGATTTGTGGTATTTAGTAAGCTGCGTTGGTTAGTTTTGTTTAGTATATGATTCCTTTCCAACCGGGTTAAAGGAAAGTTTGAAACATGTTATTATATGTTAGAGTTGTTGAGTGTGAAAACTTGAAACTGAAATTCATTATTTTAAACAATTCTTCGTGGGCGAGCTGTGCGAGTGTGGATAGAATTTCTGTGCGAATGAATGAAAATATCAAAAGGTTAGTACTGCAATTGCATTTTATTAATTTACTGCATAGAATTTGGAAATTTACTGCTAGTTATGGGGGAATTTTAAGTTACAAATTTTCATCATAATTAGATTTACTGCTTGTGGGGAAAATTTTAGAAATGAATTTACTGCATTGGTATTAAATTTATAAATTTATAAGTGTAAGAGATTAATAGAATTGTTGAAGTCTGTTTGATGAAATTTGCGATCTTTATTTGTTTTTTGTGGTTTTTGTAGGTGATCGTCGGATGAAGGCTAAAAATCTAAGGAAAACATGGATAAAGTATGGTGAGTTTTTTAATATTTCAATTAGTTAGTTATATTCATTTAATTCATACTTACCTGTTAGTCGTCGGGGAAAAAACCGTGGGGGAAGATGTCGTGAATTAGTTCTGAAGTTGTTAGTAGTTTAGCTAAGATGCGGATGATATTTTTAGTCTGAAGCAGTGGCCAAAGCAATTGAAGTGCCTTAATAGTGGTTAGTTCTTCAGTGCCAACTGCAAACTCATAAGGTGTGTTTTGGATTAGATTATATAATTTGTGATTGAATTTAGTGTTGTGGATGAATTCTAAAATTGGGATTTCTATAGGTTGTACAAACTCGTGCGGGATAAGGAAGGGTCGGGATTCTTCGGCGTTGAAGGTCTTGGTGATGGGACAGAAGATGTACATTTGGGTTATGGGGTCATAATTACGAAGAATACCATGGAGGTTAGTGTCTTTAATACAATATGTGAAATTTAGGAAAAATGGTGAAGTGTATTTGGAATTAATGAATTGAAAACGATGGTGTGGTTGTCTAGAGGGTGTGTGTAGGTCAAAGTGATTTTGGATGAAGCGATAATAACTATATGTGTGGGTTTGTTTAGTGCGCAACATAATATCGTGTGAGCAGTGTAAATCTCTTTCGTGTGGTGCAAGGAAATGAAAGGTTAGTGAAAATATTTGGAAGCGTTCTTTAAAACTTTCGTATGCTTGTGTGTCTGTTAGTGCTTCTGAAATAATGTGATCAAACTTTCGGTCGAAGATGTTTAGTGTGAATATATATGGTGTCTTGATGAAAAATTTCTCGGTAATTTGTGGATTAGCGAAGCGATCGTCGTCTAAGAATTGATCTTGGTTAGCTCTGATGATGTTGTGATCATAGTATTCGAGTGTATATTCGTTAGCTCTAGGTGCAGTGTGTGTTTTTAGTGATTTTTTATATCCAACGTAAGTAAATTGTCTAGCGGTTAGTGGTGTAGTGAGTCGATATAGCATGTCCGTATTTCGCTCTATATCGATGTGAGTGTTAGATAAAGGTAAGCAAAGAGGATTAGTAAAATGATAATATGAGGTCCAAGAGAGAGTGGGCATTAAAACGTATTCATCTACAAAGTTGCGTGTTTCGTTAGTGTCGTGGGGGGTGTTTAAGGTGTATTGTGGGAATGAGGGTAAGGTGATGGCTAAAAATTCTTTTGTGTTAGTATGCTTGGGGTGGTTGATGTATTCACGGGCTGTTCCTGGTTTTGCTGGGAAAGGATGGTTGGGGAACTTTCTTTTAAAAGTGCGGTAAGCTCTATTAGTGTTGAGTGAAGATTCAGTTGATGTGGATGATGGTGCTAATGATTCAGTATAATTTGAAGAGGGTGTAGGGGTAGGGGGGTTGGATGAATTTATTGTGGAGGAGATTTGGTTTATGGTTGGGGTATTAAGGTGGTAGGGTTGTTGTTGAAGGGTAATAAAATTATCTAGCTCTGGGGAGATTCGGGGGGTGTCTGGAGAATGAGATGATTGGTCAGAATGGTATGAGGAGTAGGTTGGGGTAACTTGGGAAGCATAAGAGGGTGTGGGAGTGATTGGGTCAGGGTTATTGGATAATATGGGTTGAAAAGGGGGTTGAGAAAAATTAGAAGAGTTATGAAAATTATTGGATGGGGATGGTTCTGAGTCGGCAAATTCATCGGGGGTTTCAATATTCGGGTTATTGAGTTGTGAGATGGAATATAAAACTGAGATGTGTGAATTAGTGTCGGAATTCATGCCTGATGTTACATTACTAGGTGAAAAATCGGGTGGCGGAAAAGCAAAAAGTGGTATTATTGGGATTGGAGAGGTAAGATTGGTTGGGTGGGAATTTGATCGGTGTAGTGATCCAAGTTGGCGGCTCATCGTGGGCTAAAAAAATGATTATTTTGAGACTGAAAAGCGGTGGTATGGGGTTGTTCAATAATTTGTTCATAAGTATTATCATCTTGTGACTGGTGTGTCATTATATGTTGGATGGGACTTTGTGATGTGGTGAGTCGAAAATTTGGATTATGTGTGATGGCTAAATTTCGAAAATTTCGTGGGACTAGGGATAGTGGATGGTTATTTGGTAGGGGTGGTAATTGTGGTGCCGTTGGCGTTATGTCTACATTGTTATGTTCTTCGTCGTATGTATTTTGTCGTGTTGCTATTTTTGTGTTATATTCTTTTATTTGTGCGTCTAAAAGAATTTTGTTTATAGATGTAGAAAAGATTCCAAAAAATCCTGCAAAGAGTATGCGTGC